AAGAGGACGCTCACGAGGCACGCATGCCGCGGGGTGTTATGGGTAGGGCGCCAGAGGGCGCTATTGTATATAACTCTTAGCGAAAATACCTGCCGGTAGGGGGAATATGCATAAGTAGTGTTGCTCTACAGGTAAGTATTCGTTCGTAGACCCCAACCACACTTCTGTGGGGGGGGGGGGAGTTTGTTTTTTTCCATACTATTTAACACTTCTTACTGTATTTACCATTGGCAAAGCACCATATGGCATAGGAAAAAGTCATTAACCTCATTTGTAATAATGAAATTGCGTTTAAATATTGAATAAATTTGTGAAATTTCAAAAAAGAACTACTCTATTTAGACTTCTTTCAGTAATCAGTGATATACATGTGTTGACTTTGGAAGTCCATTTCTTATTGTACATGCATGCTTTCCCCCCCAAAAATTTCTGCTTCCGATTTCATGGCATTTGAAAAAGGGTAGGTAGGCAGGCAAATTTTTTTTTGTGTACCATCATGTGGAGGTGTCTGCGTGTAGTCAAGGGTAAAAGGTAGTACTTGATGGTTTTAGGAATTTTTTCCTCATTTTTCCAAAAAAAAATAAAATAAAAATTAGGGTAGGGGCTGTCAAAATAGGCTAGGTAGGGTAACCGGAAGCACAATTCTTTAGATCATACATTTGTTTTTTTAGTTTATGCATTCAGGTAGGGGAAAAGAAGTTAAAAATACAAAAATACAGTACCCTGGCATAAATTGAATGTGAGTAATGAGGGGTTGAAAGTAAGGGAAGAAGCACTTCACTAACTAGATTGTATAACGGTTACATGTGTACCAGAAATTGTAACAGCTTTCAAAGTTTAACACAGAAATTGACCGGAGTGGGGCTTGAACCTGCAACCTCCGGATTACTATTCCGGTGCTCGACTTCCGATTTTTTTTTTAACTTTGAAAAATATAATGGACCTAGTCAGCTCCCCTTGGTGGTTTATGTGAAGAAATTGTAACAATAAAACTCCACTGCACTAGATTCAAAAGTACAGTAAATTATGCAAATCAACTATCTCAAGAATATTCATCTCTGTATTTGAAATCACATTTTTTTATTCAAATTTCTCATCAGGAAGTTAAATACACTTTGATTTCAAAATAAGGCAGTTTTATTCTGTATCTACACACACTGTTAATTTAGTCAAACTGCTTCGATACACAGAACTTCATACACCACTGATAAACTACTGTGAGTAAATAAAACATGAAAATTTATAAAAAGGTATAAGTGTGGTTCGAAAAGACCTGAACAGTCACAAAAACTTGACCAGTGTGTTCAGATGTAGAAGAGTGAGAGACTAATGTGCAGTCGAAACCCTAGTCTTGGCCCAAGACTGGCTTTGTATTTTACTTGTCCCTGACAAGTGCAGTCAAGCCGCCACAGTGGTAGGGACTGCTATCAAGATGAATCAAGCCCAGTCTTGGAAACTTTGGCAGTGCTACCCAGAAAATTCGGAGCATACCTCACACATGTGCATTAGCTTGAATACAGCACACATGGGGTATGCTTGGAATATCTTGGGTCAGTACGGTGTGTCAAAGTTCCCGAGACTGGATTTGATTCATCTCGTTGATAGTGTGTTTCAGGGACTGGCTGTAATAGGAGAATAAAAAGCAAAAATCCACTCTTGGGCCGAGACTATCTAAACCGTGAAGTATGTCACATGGGGAAGTTGTTGTTATGCTCAATTTGGAACATGGCTGCTGAATTTGGTGGATTTGGTTTATTATTGTGGGCCTTGACAAACAAAACACGACTGTTTAGCGAATAGTCCTCAGGTCTATGGCCAAGTGACTTTTGAGGCCAGAGCTTCCACAACACTCACAGTTTACTCCTTTTCTACATCCCTCAGTTTCCATTCATATGAGAATACCACAAATACAGTTAGCATTTAAATTATATAAACAAAAATGAATATTTACCAACAAAATATTGTACGGCAACAGGTATTATGTACAACTGTGCGTTGCAAAAATCTATAATTATTAAATGAAATAATTGCACAGTTTAATAAACACACAAGACACACTACATTTTATTTTAGTACAATGAAACACTGTTGAATTATACAAATTAAAAGACACCTTTATATTTATAAAAAAATATGTTTTAAATATTCATTTAATATATAAATATAAAACATGCAGAAACAGTAAATGATTTGCACCTGATTCACTTTTGAAAATTGACTGAATTGCTTCAAACTCTCTCTTCAAAACTCACAAGGCTCGATGTCAGAGTATTTGTTACAAGCTGCAAAAGGAAAGATGTCTTTCAGTATTTTATGTGCCTTCCCTGTCTTTTACGTTGCGCCTCTGTTATCCCCTTTGAAGTTGCCCAAGCTTTAAAAAAAATGTTGACGAAAATCTTGAAGACAAAATTAGAATTAAAATTTAACCCTTCACCCTGCTGAAACTAACATCCAACAGGACGTAACTGCTGTTGAATTTTGTTGATGCGTGCAGTGAATGAAACACCTTTGCTTAACCATGGACCCAGTGGCATGGCCGGGGGGAAGGGGGGAGGGGGGCCAAAAAAACAACAACTGTAAAAAACAACAACTATGTAATACAAAAATTGTAAGAAATTTTACCAAAACCCGACGCTAATTACGAGTACAAAATACGACAATGTCTATTTGGTAGTCATGTAATGCTTTTCCCTCTCAAAAAAAGTCTTAAAAACTTTTGCTCAAATATTTCAGGGGAAAAGGGGCCAGTGATAGCCTAAGATCGCACCACAGAGCGTCTACAACCCAAAATTTCCCAGGGCCCTTAAAGGGGCACTAGGTCCTGAAATCCCCAAAAATGTTATATTTTGGATTGTTTACTTAGCCTATTTCAAACATCTGGTTGAAAGGAAACCAACTTAATGTCTTACCATTCCCGAGAAAAGACGAAAAAAAACCCCGCTTGTTTACATCGGACATGACGGAGTACGAATACATTTTCGTGTCGTTCTCATGTATGCTATACACGTTGTGTGTCTCGGGAACAGCGTGCGGTGACCGATCACCAATGCAGAACATTGTGGTTTCTTCAACGTCCGCAAAATGCGAACACTTTACGCGTACGAATGAAATCACAACTAGCATCCAAACAGCTCGAATTTATGGGGTCGCAAAAGTTGACCCTGAAATTCGTTCTCGCACGCATAATACAGGAATAACACAAAACCGCCCAGTTTTGAAAGGATAGTTGTGTGGATGTTTATATCCTACTTTTAAAAGTTATTTCCGATTATCACCATCTCGTTCAAAGCGCGTTTTGTAGCCCAATTGGGCTGTTCCAGGACCTAGTGTCCCTTTAAGCGGGCCCCGGACCCCACGCTGTAAAAGCCTGTTACTTGACCAAGTTGAAGACAGAGAATTCTTTATACTGTGTTGCACGAAGTAAAATCAGGCAATACAAAGAAGAAAAAAAACTTAAGGGTAAAAAATTGAATACATGTAGTTAACAAAGTCCACTAAAACACACATAACACAGACATGTCAAAAGCACGCAACAAAGGTTAAGAGAGATTCGTTGGGGTTTGTAAACGCTGGTCGGACTTGGCCCCCCATGTTCAAAATTCTTGGCTACGCCTTTGCACGACTCATTCGAGCTTGCGTACAAAATGTACGGAACGGTTTGTCTACATGCGTGATATCCCGCGTCCGCGTATAGAACAATGCATAGAACATGTAGAACAATGCGGGCGCTATGATTGCCGACAGCTGGAGCCTAACAGAAATTTGACTACTGAAAGACTGCAGTTGCGCACCGTGTCTCGCTCATGCGCACGCACGACGCACAAGTGCCGTATCACGCATCTAACCAGAAATTTTGGGAAGTCGTTTATCCTTGTGTAGAGGATCCGTGGTTTAACCTTCGTTCACAAGACTTGATCAAATTGTTATCGAAAGTTACGAAAAAATGACTAATGTAAAAAATAAAAATCAGTTTTCACCAGCCATAAATTGTTGGTCCTCAGTGAAATACTTGTGAATGGCTAGAGAAACAGTCAAAATCAAAAATCTGGTTTTGTTATAACTGTGGAAAACGTTATTCCATGCAAATAGCAAGTCAATATATTGGTACCCCGTGTGGATACATAGGCGCAATGTTGTAAGCAATAGACTGATCCATTAAAATCCCAACTCCCTAGTATGATTTACTAGGAACCATACCCATCCTGGCAAATTTCCAACACCATATGGGAAACTGCACACACATATTTCTGACTTTGTTTCTGGAGGTGTGCCAACCCAATGTAAAGACTGTCAGTTTAGGGGTACTGTACCCATCCTGACAGATTCCAACAAAACATGCCGTTGGGGTTTGAGGGGTTGAGTTCTGTAGAGTTAAGCACCTCCCATTGATGTTTTCAACCAATCACAGCTGTGATTATGTGCAGTGGGCAGAGCCAATTGAATTGGTATATTTGGGGATGCCCATGCGCACATCATGATTCACTATTTAGTTGCAAGAGATAAACAGTTCCCCACAAGCATGCAAAATCATAGCGGCGTACCAACGAAATCAAAGAAATTTATTGTTTTAAAGTAAATGCAAAATTTTGAATCTTTTTTTTTAACTGCACATGGTTCAAGATGTATTGTGTGCTCCAACTTTTGTGTGAACAAAACTTTCAATCTTCTTTCTGAATGGATGAAAAATTCAAAAATGCAGATTCGGTTACCACGACCCGCCCCGGACTTGTGTGCAACCATCTGCATTGTTTATCTATCAAAACTAAATTGTCAAATCTCATGTGCGCACTTGCAGTTGAATTTGCAAAAAGGCTTATTCTGTTGCCAAAGAAATGGTTCGCAGAATGGCAATGTCAATTTCTCCAATAGAAAAGCCGCAGGGATCAACAGACATGGCAGTTTGTTGCCGAAAAATCTTATGATGAGCTGCAGTCCATGCAGGGTGATGAACAAAGAAAAGTAAACCCAGGCAAACAATTGAAATTTTCTCACAAACCCCCTGAGGCTATACTGTACACTGTCTCAACAAAAGCCCTGACATTATCAGTCAACTTCGTCACCGATTTCGCTGATGATCTTGTTGAAAGTCTGTGTTCTGTCGGCGTAAACATGATGTCCAGCTCCTTTTAGAATCTAATCATGATAAAAAAAATAATACATTAAATTAATTCAGAAAAAAACATCAAAATGCGGAAGGGGAAATCGTAAGTTATACAGTCCTTAACCCTCACTCCCTAGCGTCGGTTACTAGGAACTGGACCAAGTCCATCAACATCCATCAATCACTGTACGTCCAACACAAAACTGTACATGACATAATGGAATCCACCACTGACGCACTGGTTGACATTCATGGACTTGCTAAACATGGATTTTATCACAATAGCAGTACAGGAAGCTAGGCAAAATCAATCGGATACCCCTAGCACTGCCTCAAGCCAATCAGGCCCAAGTCCATCAAACTTCATCAATATCTAGTCAGGCCAGGCCTCCTGGGCCAAGTCCCCAAAAAATCCACCAAAATGGGGGATGGATTTTGATGGAGTTTGGGTGATTAGGGTTAATCGAGCAGCACATCTCAAGAGCAGCTGTAAGATTGTTCAGGCTTAGATTTAATATTGCAGTTACAAAAAAATGGTTATAAACAAACAAAAAAACACCCCCAAAAAACTCTGAATTGTTAGAAAGGCATCTGAGGTATGATAGGTGACTGCTCTAAGTTCCCACACCCCTTTGTTCTGACACCCCTATGTTACGACAACTAACACACGTATAAGATTGTGTCCATAATACCTGGGCAGTTTTGGGTACTACAGGGAGAAATAGGCAACTAGCAACACATAAAGCAGGGGACACTTACATGAATCTTGACATAGGCGCCTTTCCGTCTGAACTTCAAGTCGTTGCCTGAATTGCTGTCCATCCAGGACTTATCGCCGTAGATCATTGTCACTGGTACATCACTAGATAGCTGCTCCGCCCTCTGTATCATGGGATTGACGGCCCATCCTATCATGTGAGCCATAGACTTGAAGGCCATCTCACCACTGCAAATAAAAATAATCAATTTTTTACCCCAAGAACTACTCTAGATTTTGGCTTTTTTTCAGACTCGTACTACAGGTAGAAGGCCAGCCTAATGTCCTCTTTTGTATCTATCTCACAGACTGAGCTGCTCACTGACTGACTGACTGTTATTTGTGACTTAGACTGGTTGTTGATTGGTGATGAGAGCCAGGCAATGCAATTGTTCTTTTTTTTTGCTGTGTAAGTATCTATAGGGTCTTTTTATACATCATGTGCTATCAGTATTTTTTCCTCCATAACATTCATATACATTGTATAAGTATATTTTGTGGTTTTTAACATGTAAATAAATGCTTCTGGTCATTTGCTTTGGGAGGGTTCATATGTGCACACATAAGAATAAGTGGATTTTTTAAGATGTCGGTCTTTTTATACATCATGTGTCATCAGTTTTATCTTTTGTTACATTCATATGCATTTTGTGGGTTTTTTAATATGTAAATTACTAAATTCAAATTAATGCTTCTGGTAATTGCTTTGGGAGGTTTTTATTTTTTTGCTTGATGACTTTTAAAATTAATGTGATTTTTTTTGTGTGAATGTGTATTTTTAATGTTAATTGTTTATGTTTATTGTCTTTATGTATGCTGGGACCCATTGGAGACCAGTGGATTCCACTGAATGGGCCACCCAGTTGAAATAAGAAATATATAAATAAATAAATAAATTGTTCAGGGTCACCTAGTAACTTCAATTAACCCTCCTGCTGTCTGAACAGTCACAGAGAGTCAAACATTAAATCCTGCTCCCCTGCCATGCCTTTATACACAGGTTAGTCACCAACAGTCAGATCATATAAATACATGCATTTCCAGCAAGCACTATGACTAGTCAAATTCCACCAACAGACAAAAGCAAGTAACTGGTAGGTACAGCTGGCTTATCAGTCACCTACTGTCAAGGCAAAGCTGTATCAAGTTACATAACCAGTCACAGCCATTCAATCCTGCATTATGTAGGCCGGGAGCTCTAAACCAGTTCACGTTGGCAATATTTTGACAAGAATGGAACGAGGCGCAGGATAACTTTGACCTCATTGTCAGACGGGTTGAAGCCATCACCCTCGGGCAGCCCATTCATATTTCTGGCCTCGCTCACTGCGAGCGGGTCGCTGATAGATATTTCCAGCCTCGCTCCCTGCATGTTTATCCATCATCTGTTCCGAATATTGCAAAACCTTTGCGTGTATACACATCATTCAGCACAAACAGGTTAACTGTTAAAAACAGTCACTAGATTGATTTTGGAAATAATGAAAATACCTGGGCTGTTGTGCATTGCAATGGTAGATATAGTTGCTAATCAGATCACCATCAAACAATGTTTTGAATTTCTTGTCCAAATCTCCACGAACTCGCTTCAACAGACGAGGACCTGTTAATATCATAGGTGAATAAAATAATTTCAAATTAACATCCACGCTAAGCTATTTCCGGGAATTAAGGATATCTAACACAAATTCTCTCCACAAAAGGAAACACTAAGACTCTCCATTTTAAATCTCATTTGAATTTTTATTCATGGAATAAGAGCACATCTGAATGATGAAAAACTTAACTTGCATAATTCCATGTTACTAGAATACCACCATTGTTAAGTTTTCATAATGCGCTTACCTAGAGGACCTGCCGCCCGTATGCTGGACAATGGATTGAATCTCATGGCCACAGCCCCGATGGCCCGCACCCACAGTGGGAACTGAAGTTCCTCTGGCGGTGGCTTCTCAGGAAAACCCCACGGATCGGCCAGCACCAAGTGTTTAACCCGCTCCGGGTGCCGGATGCTGTACGAGTACGTCAGATACCCTCCGAAGCTGTGCCCTACCAGGACCATCTTCTCAATGCCGACTTTGCTCCGCCAGTTCTCAATGGAATTCACGAATTCTGTCTCGGCCTGCTCGGCATCTTGCGGTATTGCCGACCGCGAGCTGCGGCCAAAGCCCAACAGATCAAAGGCATAGACGGGGCGGCGTCGAGACAAGTCCTCAAAATTGAGGGACCATAATGCCACGCCGCTGCCAAAGCCGTGGACAAGCACTATGGGAGTTTTGTCGTCTGCTCCCGACTTGCTAGGGTTGAACTTAAGAGTCCGCAGTTTGTCTTCCTCATTGATGTACACAAAGTTGCTCTCATATTTGGCTTTCACACCTGTAAAATAATTTTAACGATATTAGAAAAGAACATAAAGATCAAATCAGCGACATTTTCATAGTGTTGTTCATTCCGTGACAGCCCCTGCTTACATTTTACAGTCCTTCTGATATAAAATCACAAGCGTGTGAAAAAAGGCACAGGATTTTTCTAGGTGTGTGTTTTTTCTAGGTGTGTGGTTTTCTAGGTGTGTGATCTGTGGTCCAGGGAAATTCAGGCGTGTAATTATTCACACTTCTCGGGAAGCTTTTAGGTGTGTGATGGTGTGGGGGTGTGATCGCACGCCTCAAATCAGGACTGATTTTAGGACTGAGTTTAGTTTGTATCCATGAACTTAGTGTCTAAAGATTTTTAAAAAAAATAATAATAAAGTCAAGTCACAAGCTATTCGAACGAACAATGACAAATGCACTCCTCTGTTCTCATGCTTCCCTTGTTACTTGCTACTAGATTTGTGTAAGGTTTTGTGTTTTTATTTTGACTACAAAGTTGTGATGGACTTGTGATACAACTCTACATATCGGTCATATACAGACATGGTTTTCCAGGGTTCCACGTTAACTTGTTTGTTCACTAGCCAGCCCGGCTACTGAAACAGACTCTTAACTAGCCCTCTGGCATTTTCACTAGCCCGCATTTTTTTCAGCTCAAATACAAAATGGCGTATTTTTAGGCTCAATTCTGAGGCATTTTTGTTAGTGTTTTTAATAATCAGATCTAATTATTTAACCTTTAAAACAGTTGGCAAAATTAGACACAAATTGCTGAGGTTTTGTTTCTGAATATAAATAAATGATTTATTTCTTCCCGTCTGCTCATCTATGCCATATCCCAACATTTTTTTTGACTCACCAGCCGGGCTACTTAAGGAATAGTTTGACTAGCTTGGAGCTGTTTTGACTAGCTTTTAGCTAGCGGGCTACCGCTTATTTCGAACCTTGGGTTTTCGCAAAACCTGTTTTGTCATAAGTCAAATTAATAACTTGAAAGAGATAAAAGAAAGTTATAGGCCTAGAAAACAAATATAATGTAATCATGAATCTTACATGATAGAATTTTCTCCTCTGCCTTTTCTAGAAGGTTGACAGATGTTGGCCTCCATCGAGCCAAGCTTCCTATCCAGCTACTGCGTGACAGAAACAGAAAAGAAGTTGATAATTTTAGGTCAATCAAAAAAAATAGTTTCTTGTAAGTTGTAAGCATGGTTGGGAACAACGGAAAAACTCCCATATCTGGCCATCACTAATTTTTCCCAGAAAAAATGTTGCAACCTGACGCCACTTTTTTCTTCATATTATCATCTCAGTGAAGGTCATTAATTGCAAAAATGACAATAAGACACGAATATGGCACTGAGAAATATTTCCAATTTTGTTACGGAATACTTTGAAATTTTTTTTCGACTTTCTATCTATCATGTCTATAGACTTTGTACACAATTGCGGAAATGGCATCAGGTTGCAACATTTTTTCTTTTTTCCCTTCAGTGACTAGGTAACTCCAGCTATTCAGTGACCTATCACAGACATCAGAAAGTCAAGATAATGTCCTACAAAGTCTCATACTTTTATGATAGGCCTACTATGACTAGTATGCAGTGTTGTTGACTCGAGTCGCTGACTCGCACTCGAGTCGGACTCCAGTCGCTATTTTTCCGACTTGAGACTTGACTTGACTTGGAAAAAAATGACTTGAGACTTGACTTGACGACACAAAGAAAGACTCGTGACTTGACTTGACTTGACAAAATTGGCATTAACAAAATAGTTTTGTCATAGTTACAAAAAACTTTTTTGGTGCACCCACCAGTTTATTATCGGGTAATGACTGATTGAAACTTGACTGGAGAGAAGTCCGTAAATCCCACCGCGCACCGAGCTGAGCTCGGACGGACTACTCAACGCGGAACCTGGCGCTTTGTGCCTGCCACGCGTGGTTTTGTGCATATGTCTGATCACCCTCCGTTAACATACATGGATGTATCTTCAACATTGCTTCATATCATTTAAATGCTGTGTACTTATAACATGTTGCAAAAGGTTTTAAAGACTGGAACAACGACTATGATATAGTTTATGAGAGGCAAGAATTCACATCACAAAGCAAAAAATGCTTTGGAAATGGTTTGTTTAACTCCTTCAAAAAATCATTATGTTTTTCAAAAGAATTTAAAAACTAATAATGAATTCTCTAAAGACATTTTGCTCAACAAAACATGTGCATGGAAAAAAAAAAGTTTTATAAGTATGAAAACTGTACTTAAATTCTCTTAACATAATGAACACTTCGGCACTTGCACATGTAAACTGGTTCCCGTACATCTTGCCGCCCTACACTGCATGCTAGCAACTATTCAGACGAGAACCATGCTACCATTAGAGCAAACTAATGCCTCAAACGTACATGTACATGTACATGTATACGTATGTACATTACCGTATTATATACAGAACTGTGTAATACGTTTGAAATTGACTCGGGACTTGAGTGTTGACATGAAAATTTGGCAAGTTGGTGCTATTGTCGAGCGCAATTTGAGTCCCCCATGCAAGTTTAAACTTGCGCGCGCAAGTTTAAACCTGCGCGCACGCAAGTTTAAACTTGCCCGCGCATTAATTTCCTTGTTACACATTGCGTACGCAAGTTTAAACTTGGGCACTGCATAGATTTTCCCAGCAAAGCATACAAAGCTGCTAAACTATTTTTTTTCCGGGTATACTCATGCAGATATGCAACATTATTTCTAAAGCAGATTTTTTTTTCTACGATTTAATAGCATCACTGAGCTTCAGGAGACAATGCCGTAATGCCATTTTTTGAAACATTTTATTAACATTATGCTAATGATATTGACTGGGTAGAGGTTCAGAGATAAGGGGTGGTAATGCGAACAATTTATGCACTTTGCATCATGATGCCTATTATTGTTTATGGCTCATTAGGATATTTGTTTAATAAACAACATATCTATTCTTTAATTCGAATTAATTAATTGAAATAATAAATTAAATTCATTAATTAAATCATTTGCAAATTTATTTACTTTTTAAAATAATTTCAATTTTATTTTCATTTTCAAATTATGCATTTTTGAAGTGTACACAGCGCTCGAAATGTTATGCAAGTATTTCTAAAAGCAATATGAATTATTGTACCGTCCAATTTATTAATTGCTAAATTAATTAGTTTTTTTTTTTAAGAATAAGCACTTTTTTAATTGTAGAGTACATGTTTCAAAAATAATGTAAACGATTACTAAAACGTCAAAACTTGAACAATTGAAGGGATCATAATCATTCTTTTACGTTTACAGATGGTTACACCTAGGAAATTATGATTTATTTACATTCAAGAATATAAATAAAATGCTAATTAGGTTTACAAAGCAAAAAACTTGAAGCGGGTCTCCATTATTGAACAACTTTTGTACACTTTCCAAGCAATCGCCGCTAGTGTGCTTAAGTTGATTGCTTGCCCGGTCCCCTCCCCGGCCCCACCCCCACACCCTAAAAAACTGCTCTGATAAGCACTGCTAAATCTCAATGTTTTTTTTTTATTGACGCTAATCGAATTCCCCTTTTTATTTATTTCTTTGCTCATTTATTTATCCATTATTTCTCCATGTACTCGTGTTTTGAACATTCTTTTCTTCATCAATGAAAATCCCGCCCGCAAGGTTCTCAAATTGCGATCGCCTATGCGCAAGTTTAAACTTGCGCACGCAAATTAAAATGGCGCAGTGTAATTTCCGTGCTTCGGGCATGGGCGTCGCCAGGATTTTTTCTAGAGGGGGGCAAAAAATTATTTTTGCCAAAAATGCTTGCATTTCTCAACATATTCTCGATTTATCAGTTTTAGAGGGGGGCAGGGACATGTTGCCCCCCCCCCTAACTCATTAAATTTACACCACTTTGTCTTCGCGCCTCTTTTTCTTTTCTTTTTTCTCTTTTTTTTTCCTCCTCTTCTTTTTTTTTTTTTTTTGCTTTTCCGGGGGGGGGGGGGGGGGGGGGGGGGGGAGGGGGGCAAGTGCCCCCCCTTGCCCCTTCCTCGCTACGCCCATGGCTTCGGGATAAGCACCGTCGATATATCGATATATCGATTTTATCGATATTGGTTTGATAATGATATCGCCGATGTTAGTTAATTGGTAAAATCAATAAATCGAAAATATCGGATTTTGGAAAAATATCGAAAATATCGCAAATATCGAAACTTCGAAAACATCGATATTGAAAAATACATCGAAAATATCGCTACTGAGGAACAAACTTTATTAAAAAATACGAAAGCACATTGTCACATTACCCTAATTTTCGATAAACAACGGCTTACGTTGGTTCTCACGCTGAGTGAAAAATGTCCCTGTAGCTTATATTCCAGGCGGCGTATACGGCGACATTTGAAGAATAAATTCAGTCACCTATCTCAGTCTCGCACTCAGAACTCGAGTACACTTTGCCTCGAAAATATCACCAAATTTATCCTCCAAAACAGAGAATTATTTGCTAACCAAACATTCGTAGACTAGCACCACGTGCTGATGATATCACGGCAGCGTGTATCCCAGGCTCATGTCGGCAACGTACGTAATACGGACGCTAGAACCGCAGGCGGTGTCAGACGGGCCAATCAAAAGACCACGTGATAAACGCTGCTAAAAAATTTGGAATCGCACTAAGGCCAAAAAAAAAAAGTCTCCGGTTTCTGGTATGGAGTTTGTCCAAAAAGTGGTGCGGCGACGCGGCTTTTTTTTTTTTTTACCCGACTTTTTTGCTTCAAATTTGCTTCAAATGTCGGCTGATGACTGCAAATGATGCCCGACTAAACTCAGTGCAAATATATGGGAGTACAGAGAGGCCACATAAAGCTTATTCTCGATCATAACCCCATCTAAAAACACGTTGAAATTGCGCAGCAGCAGAATTCCAGTCAAACCAGTGAGTTTGGCGGTTTTGAGACATCATCTTTCATTGAAAAAAAACCTTTTTCATTTTGCCGACGTGCATGGCTACGGTGACGCGCGCGCATACCAGAAACCGGAGACTTTTGTTTTTGGGCCTAACGATCCGGACATGAGTGCCCGGAGCGTCAGTGCAATACCAAATTATCCACAGCATTTATCATGTGGATCACACCAGGGGTGTACCATTAGAACAATTTACCAGCATTTCCACCGTTTCGGAATTAAAACACCGAATCCCAGAATCAGTTTTGTTTGTGATTGAGAATATATACGTTACGAAATGCCGAGCGGCGGAACTTTCTGTTGATATTTGCTGGAATTCACGGTCTCAAAGTAATGATGAGTTCCAAAATAAACTCTTGTGATGTGTTGTATTTTGCTTAATTTTCATTCTGTTCTGTAATGTACTTCCCCCATCTATCAGCAGCCTCTTTAAAATGCACTGTCATCATGGATATACAGTTGCCTAGCAACACCATGTCGGTAGGAAGTTTGTAGGCCCGCTTCATTGCCCCTTTTATACCAGTACGCAAAGCCCCTTGGTAATTAGTTGCAGTTAAATGTATTCTCCATTGACATCTGTCTTCAAACTCCGCCCTTATTTGCATAATCATAAATATACATTGGCCACTCTAAAAAACATAATTCGTTGATTATATCTAAAATAACAATGATTGATTGAACATTTCAGACTTTATGTGTACAAAATTGAGGAAAGATAAGTGCAGAATCACTAATGATGACATCTGTTGCACTATCCTGGACATTTTGGTGTCCTGCACAATTAGGCAGATGCCTTGAAATCTGTAAGTTAAGGGTCTGGTGTTGTCATTGCACATTGACTACATCACCCGTTGTGTTTGGGGTTCAGGGTCCTTATTCACAAAGCACCCGTAAATGTTTGCGTTGCGGGGACCCGTAAGTGGATGTTAAGGGCACGTAAGACTTGCGTTAAGTGGTATTCACGAAGCACCCTTAGAGTTCCCTTAGTGGACCCGCATGTTGCGGGCACCCGCAACTAATTGGTTGAACATTAAAAAAAAAGCCAAGACATTTTATCCCATTTTAGAGAACTTGCTCGTTGTAAAAATTACAGGCAGATTCGATTAAAGATTAACTTGTCTTTGTTTTCTTAGCAAACAATCAACACCAATCAAGCATGTCTTTAAGAGCATGTTCTTCCACTCATTTAAAGAAAAAAATGAATCACTAAAATTTACCAATGCTTTCAGAAGTTATGCATACTGTGTTACAAACTTAGGCCATTTTTATAGCTGTCCTTGAATGTCATTGGAAGCTATTGAGTTAATAGTGAGAATCATATTACAGACAAACTTTAAAATGCCAACAAGACTTTAAAGGAAACATGCAGTGGAAATTCAGCCCATCTTGTTCTCTTACACATTATTATGTGTCGCAACAATACATACAAGATCGTAATACTTGTTTTCGTTGGAAGTGACAAGAGAGTGGTAGTTTTTCAATTGTTAGCAAATCCTTTCATCAAAACAATCGCATGTAATGGGCGCTATTTTGCTTTTGTCACACAAAGAACTCCTTGTCAAAAGTGCATATGAACAGTACAAACATAACTCCTTCAAAGTTACCCACAAACAAGGGCGGATCCAGGGGGGGGGGGCCAAAGGGGGCCATGGCCCCCCCAAAAACGAAACCAATTTTTTTTTTTTTTATGTGACATCGCAATAAAGGCAGGCAATGAGTACACCACCATCTTTTCCTCAAAAAAAAATTGGTTAAAGTGGTCAGAAATTGCCTCAGATCGCACCACAGAGCATCTAGAATCCAAAAATTTTTTTGACCCACTTTTTGGGGGGGGACCAAAATTTTTTTGGCCCCTCCCAAAATTGTGTTCTGGATCCGCCCTTGCCCACAAAAAAAGCTTCGAAAAAACTAGTGGCGACTGCTAGTGTCCAAACAAGCTGTTTAACATGATAAACAAGTAAAAAGTGGAACTTACTGCAAGAAAATAGAAACAAGTGTGATATATATTTGTACTCAAAGCTGTAGAGACACTTCTGTTCTGCTTTGAATGACATCACGCTTTGGCTCATGAATATGGAAAGTTTCAATAGCATAAAAATTGAAATGTTGAAATTTCTCCCTTTTACTACTACAAAAGAAGATTGAAAGTCATAGTAACATGGCAAGAAAGCTGTTTTAAATCTATTTAAGTCATACAAATCCTTTTGCAGGTTCCCTTTAATAATTGAACTCAAGACAGAAACCACTGTCAGAATGTGTGCTTTCAATATATAAGAAACAATTTAGCTCTATTTTTTTTAAAATATTGATGGTGATTTTTGTATCCTTTCCCATGCTCTTGTTCATTCAGTGCAGGTGGGAAAGTCCACGTTTCATTGTACTCAATGGGTGTTCAGTTTGCATCACGTGATGAGTGGTAAACAAGTTTGTGATCGTTTTATTGAAATAGACATAACTTCGGATTAGACTGTGCAATTTAGGTGAAATGTTCACACTTAAAATCCCATAAGATGTACTTCGTCCCATAATAAAACAAAGGGCGGCAGTCGCTTCCCAAAAGTGGAGGACATACCTATTACGGCATGGAGCGGGCCCCGAAATTTTTTGGATTCTAGATGCTTAATCTGTGGTGCGATCCGAGGCAATTTCTGAGCACTCAAACCACTTTTGTGAGCAAAAGATCATCTTTTAAACATCATTTTTTGAGTTTGGAGTCATTGAATCAGCTACTATAGAATCATTATGTAGGCTACAATTTTTATTCGGGGATAGAAAAAGTGTGGGGGGGGGGGGGCAACGATATGATATCCGCCACTTAAAAAAATAAAAAGTGGGGGGAGGACTTGTCCCCCACCGATTGACGCCCATGAAAATGGAACGCGCCAAATATTTTGAACACATTTTTCAAATTCGGTCACTTTCTTTTTAACTCATCCTATAGTTGGTTCAACCGGTCACGGAAGATGAACCGGCACGTCAAATCAGTTCGTACATCATACCAAAATACATGCAAAGAGTGCCGCCATTGTGACAATCGAGATGATCCATGCAAGTTGTGGTGTGCTTGCGGGACGTCTGGAGGTCCCGCAAATTTACGGGTGGTTTACGGGCACACGCAGATTTAAGGGGGCTTCGTGAATAACCCGCAAGTGCTTAAGTGAGGGTTGCGGGGAAGTTGCGCGCCCGCAAGCATTTACGGGTGCTTTGTGAATAAGGACCCAGGACTTAATACGTCCCCACGCAGATTCGGTGTAAGGGCATCAGGCCTTATTTTTAAGCGAACGAAAGAGTAGATTCCATATAATTCACGCCTATTATAATACCTTGAAAATTAAATATATAAAATATCGAACAACGATATCGACGGTGCTTACTTCGGGAGTCCCTCACGCAAGTTTAAACTTGCGCAGGGGGACTCAAATTGCGCTCGACACTATAATTGAAAAAAAAAATTGACTTGAAACTTGTAAAAATTTGACTTGAGACTTGACTTGACTTGGAAAAATTTGACGTGAGACTTGACTTGACTTGAAAAATTTGACTTGTGACTTGACTTGACTTTGGAAAAAAATGACTTGAGACTTGACTTGGGAAAAATGGTAAAGTGTTTTCTCAGCAAATACTTCAATATTTTCCCTGCTAAATTTGAGTCATAGGACAGAATGTCGGACACTTCGCCCCATTTCCACGTCGCCCCATTTCCACGTCGCCCCATGTCACTTCGCCCCATCCCCACTTCGCCCCATTCCCACATCGCCCCATCCCCACTTCGCCCCATTCCCACTTCGCCCCATTCCCACTTCGCCCCATCCCCACTTCGCCCCATCCCCACTTCGCCCCAGCCGTTACATGTAAAAAAAAAAAAAAATTCTCATCTATTTTTTTGGCTTAAAAAAAACAATTTCAATAGATTCACTAATTGCTAACCAACGGAAAGAATTAGCCCATCACCAAATGAACAATTCATAACCAACCTCTCAAGCTAGGCTCTCCCCTACCGAGAAGCTTGAAGTAAAAGACCCAACTTTGTTCCCAACCCCGGCGGCTATACCAACCCGTCTCCCACTTATCTGAGAACGACAATACCTTTGACATCCTAATTTCACTCTTGGAGGAACCAATCTCATCAATGAAGTTGTAAGTGTCACATATCAGACACATTTTGACGGAACACTTTCCTCAAGTCAGTGAGTTCCTTTTAACTCACTGACCCATACACATGTACGGGATTCTTTTGAATCCAGCGGCTGATGATTGTATTCACAAGCCAATAGGAGAGGCGTCTCTGAATGGGATAGAGCCATCATTTCTCTCATCTGTGTCTCGAGCACCTCATCAGAGCGTTTGTATTTTTCCTGAGTTTCTAGAATTGGGAGCATTTATTATCTGGGGTCTTTGGCAGTTTATTTGGTCTGCACCCCTAGCCTTCACCTTTTTCATACTACATGGGGCGAAGTGGGGATGGGGCGAAGTGGGGATGGGGCGAAGCGGGGATGGGGCGAAGCGGGGATGGGGCGAAGCGGAGATGGGGCGATGTGGGGATGGGGCGAAGTGACATGGGGCGACGTGGAAATGGGGCGAAGCGTCCGACACCCATAGGACAAAGGGTTTGTGCACAGGGTGACATTGACTGAGAATTTCCTTACATCTTCAGACATTTTGCCTACCAGCTATTGTTGTTATCCCCAACAGTTGGGTCGTTGGATGGTGAAGATTTGGGCTCCTGTATGTCGATTTCTCTCGGTCCTTCCGAAATTGCTGAAGCAGCCATTGCTCTTTCTGCTGATTTGATTTTCCAAAATCGCCCAGTTTTCCGACACCAGCTTGCCAACTGAACAACTCTTTTTAATGCCACTTTGGAAGGAAATATTTTAGATCATGGACCTATTGGTGTGTTATTTTTTAGGCAATGCCGACCGTGACATTAACGATCTCTGATTCTGCCGGTGATTTTCAGTCGAACATGAATCAGCAGTTAATTCCGACCGGTCCTACTAAAGTGCGTCAACAAGCGTCAACAAGCGGCAACAAGCGTGCAACAAGCGTGGGTCCTACTAAAGCGCGTCAACAAGCGTCAACAAGCGTCAACAAGCCTCAACGGTCGTCAACGAGCGTCAACAAATTTTGTATAGGCTTTTGAACATTAAAAACAGCTTTATATGGTAGATAAAGCAATAAAGAACATTTTCTGCATATCAATTAAAGTTAAAATTATTTTAAAACTTGGTTTTCTGAACGCGAAATGTACGGCGAATGTGTCGGTAAAGTTGGCCGCCATCTTGTTTGAATGGCGCTGTAGACTTCGCGCATGCGTAGTATGGCTCTGTACACTTCACGCATGCGTAGTACGGCTAGCTACACGTACCCGAGTTAACTCGTACCCGAGTCAACTCGGGTACGAGTTAACTCGTACCCGAGTCAACTCGTATCCGAGTCAACTCGTACCCAAGTCAACTCGTACCCGAGTCAACTCGGATTTCAAGCATAATCCAGGCCTATATTTATGCATGACTGAGCAAAAACAACACAAGGTCTGGCCCAAGACCTTGACAAAATGGTCTTTATCGCGAATATGTGCGCACACGTATGCGATGTCGCGAAATTTATCACGAATATATGCGCACACGTATGCGATGTCGTGAAATTAATCGCGAATATGTGCGCACAAAAGACCCTATTTAATTATAAATAGGGTCTGACTAATAAACCTTCGCGCGCACGCTGTTCCTCGTGCAATCGTTACTATACTGTCGAGCGCAAACTTGCTACTTGCGCAACTTTGAAATTTGCGCGCACAAGTTTCAAACTTGCGCGCGCAAATTTCAAAGTTGCGCAAGTAGCATGTTTGCGCTCGACAGTACTAGTAGTAACGATTGCACGAGGAACAGCGTGCGCGCGAAGGTTTATTAGTCAGACCCTATTTATATCTAACAGTACGTCTAGATTCCAGACTAGAGCTGCTACAACTCCCCAGTTCATTAGGAATTTTACTGAAAGGTATGCGACAAGGTATGCAATAAAATTCACGACATTGCAAACAAATTCGCATACGTGTGCGCACATATTCGCGAATTGTTTCACGACATCGCATACGTGTGCGCACATATTCGCGATTAATTTCACGACATCGCATACGTGTGCGCATATATTCGCGATAAATTTCGCGACATCGCATACGTGTGCGCACATATTCGCGATAAATTTTGCGACATCGCATACGTGTGCGCACACATTCGCGATAAATTTCGCGACATCGCATACGTATGCGCACACGTTTGCGATATGCGATGTCCCTTCAGGGCCACCATAGGTCTGACTAATAAACCTTCGCGCGCACGCTGTTCCTCGTGCAATCGTTACTACTAGTACTGTCGAGCGCAAACTTGCTACTTGCGCAAGTTTGAAACTTGCGCGCGCAAATTTCAAAGTTGCGCAAGTAGCAAGTTAGATTACAGAATGGTGCACCGTATTTTAGACAGGCAGCATTATACCAGTATAATTTTTTTTGGGTGTCACAGCAGGGGGGTTTTCGACTGATTTTTAGGAATTTGTATGAAAAATATTTTTTTGACAGAGCTGGGGGGGGGGGGTTGACCCCCAAAATCCCCCTCTGGATCTGCGCCTGCCAAAGAATCTTTTCGTGTCTGGGACTGTTGTTTTTTTTTTGGGGGGGGGGAATTTAATTTTGTACTGCAATTACTCTGCCAACATCAGTTTTCCCAGGGATCTTGACACTTCCCAACAAAATTTTCATTTTGACTGTTACAGGAAAATCTACCCATTTTGTTTTAGCCTAATATGCAGGTTTAGAGTTCTTATTCTGTATCTCTTGCACTTGCATTTCCATAGGATTACCGTATTCTCAACCAATTTACCCCTTACTCTTCCCCAAACCCCAACATAAGACCTACCCGATCATGATCGAGTAAATTATCTTGTCAGGGAATAAACTGCTTTGTAATGTAACATCAAAAAAGTTTAGGCTTTAGTTGCACAACACGTTGAGTGATTACAGCAAAACTAATGTGTTTTTTACCTACCAGGAACGTGGCGGCGCCCTTCCTCATTAGCAGCTACTTCCCGTTTTGCTTTTTTTGTAGCGGGGCTGGAAGGAAGGAACAGCAGACAGATTTGGAGGAAAGCAAAAAGACGAAAACCAATCTTCCCCTTTGGTAACAAACAAAACAAAAACGAATGATAAAACAACCCCAACAAACCAAGTGCTTAAATCGCGATTTAAATCAGTGGTTGTTTAAATCAATGTGATTTTAATTTAAAAAATCCCCGCCCAACACTTATATCTGATTACAATTAATGTCTCCGTTTTCACTTCTGAGATGTCATGAACTTGGAAGGGGCATAACTTTGCCGATGAAGTATTCAATTACCAAACTATTTGTGACTAGCCACCGAAAAAGCCTGTTATTCACAAATATTAGTCGACCCTCCCCAATTACACATATCCCAGGTGCGCAAATTAATTTTTTTTTTTTTTATATAAGAGGTAGGCTTAACAATTTGTGGGAAAATCTTAAAATGGCCATGTTTGGAACAAGGGTAAACCGTGCAGTAAAAAAACAAAAAAGAAGAAATGGCCCTGGCCATAACCGATGCACAGAGACATCATTAGAGGATCAATGCGGTGAAATGAAAGCCACGTTACTTACCACGTGACGGTAAGGGTCCCCCAATATTTTGTGAAGACTGCCCTGTTCCATTGAAAAGCCCATTTTGCACCCGCTTCCCCCCCCCGCCCTAGTGCCATTCTTTTGTTATGAATTTTTTTTTTCTGAAAAAGTGCCCTTTTTAAAAACAAAATAGTGCCCTTTCTGTGCCAGCAGCCTTTACGAGTGCCTTTTTTACTTTATTAAATGTCTCCCCGAAAAGTGCAAATTATGTTAGTGTGCATACTCGTCGGTTTTGAACATTTGATTTTACGGAGGCCACGGTGTCTGGATAAAAAAAAACGTGTCAACATTTCAGCACGGATGTGCAAGTATCTTTTCAAAAAAATCCCCCCCCAATAAAAAGACCTTGCTACGCCCCTGAATTATATTATTCAATTTTCACACGCTTTTAACAAAATAACTCAGTTTTAAAGTTTGAGCAATGAGCACCTCTTTAATCACCGGGTCCAGAATATTCGTCATTAAAGATCGTTCTTGTCTAATCTCCCGATTGGAAGCATTCAGTGACTTGTCAATGATCAATTCGACGAAATTGATTTGAATAACAAGATTTGGCATAGGCGAGACGAAATTGAACACTCCGGGACGAAAACGTGTGCTCACTGTTTAAATTTGCTTAAGCTGAATTTGCTGACGGACGAAATTAAACATTGGAACGAATGTAGGTTTCCAGGCTATTTTTAATATTTTTTTAATTCAAATTCAACAACTTAATATTCAATTTCGTCCACAAAAAAATGCACACGGTTTTATATCATGGAGGTATATATGCTTTTACCGAGACCAATTTGGTCATTTATACCATTCAATTTTAAAGCAAATTCAAGCAATGAGCACGTTTTCGTCCCGGTATCCCGGAGTATTCAATTTCGTCGACGCGTCCGAGTCTACGCCAAACTCGAATTCCTTTAATTGATTTATATGAGGCGAATTCGATGAATTCGGCAACATCTTAATTTTTAGACGAATTTGATCTGAAAAGACGAATATTCTCGACCCAGGGGCTGAGGCGGGTAGACTGGAATGCATCGTGGCTGTTTCGGGCACGCATAGGCCCAATAATGATTGATTGTCTACGTTGGGCGAGATCTCCACTTGCAGATGTTTAAAGCGGTCGTGTCTTGTTTTGTTTCTGTAAAGAAGCAAGATGTGTGTTGTTCGGCTTAGCACAATACACGGTATGTCAACTGCGTGAATACACACGTGGTACAGGTGATACTATGAATAATAGGCTTAGCTGGTGCATACTTTCTTTCCCAGCTCGTGTACAATTCGATGCGGGATATTCCTGCCGATAGCTACCCCGAGTTTAGTTTGCCGTGTTTGCATGCAGTGTTTTTATCTTCATTTGGATGTAAATATCACTTTTCTCTTTCATTATAACCTGTTCAATGTTGGATCTTATTGGTGAGTTTTTGGCCTAATGTTTTTCTGGATTTGTATTTGTTGTTTGACAAACAGCCTGTATGAGGCGAACGTTACTCGAAAACGCGGCAAACGCCATCTTGGATTTGAATATGAAATCGATCATCAACACATGTGTTGATCCCTTGGACCTCTTGGAAGGATTTCACGGTCATCGGAGCCCTCATAGTGCCTGGTGTATGAAGGATAGAACATCTTACATCACCGACGCGCATTGCGTATAATTGTCTAAAATAAAAAAACCTCAGGCAGTCAGAAAGTCACTTGGTAAAGAATGTAGGCCTTTAAATTTGTGTACTGCCGTATCCCAACGCCACTTCTTTGGTTGTGTACAACGTCTAGAGCTGCGTGCAGTTTCAGAGAACATTTTCCAACAAAATCGGATTTTTTTTTTAGGTCTGAGATTCATGTCTTTTCAAATCATTTTTCTGCTGACTGACCCTAGCCTATTGTATAGCCCCATAAATTTGGCCAATTTACTGGACTACCTCCGTAAATAAAGGCCACACTTCCACCATGTACACAAACATGTCGAACTTTGTCAATTTTTGATATTCACAATTAGGCTTAGTTTGTAGGTGTTTTTTTTGCTTTAGAAGCATACTCGCCCTCTTTATAGGCTAATCAGAAAGTGCTGCCTTTTTCATGTTAATTTTCGTGAAATTTCCAGATTCGTTTGCACACGTTTGCGTGTCAAAATTTCAACATGCAATTTCACGAAATTTAGACATCTGAAAAAGGCAGCACTTTCTGGTTAGCATATAAAGAGGGTGAGTATGCTTCTAAAGCAAAAATAAACTACAAACTATGCCTAAATGTGAAAATCTATATTTGACAAAGTTCGACATGTTTTTGTACATGGTAGAAGTGTGGCCTTTGTTTACGGAGGTAGTCCAGTAAATTGGCCACATTTATGGGGCTAACGTTATTGTT